AGCAACAATGAATAAGTGCTGTAGGCAAGTTTCAGGTCTGTAAAGTATAAGAAGGAAAGCATTAGTATTTATTATTATTATTATTATTTATTTTTTAGTACAGTTAGCGTTATATCCAGAGAGGCACTTGCAGATTAGGAAGGGAAGTGAAGGCTAAATAGTTGAGTTTTTAGTGGTTTTTTGAAGACAGCGAGTGACTCTGCTGTTCTGATGCAGTTAGGGAGTTCATTCCACCAACTGGGCAAATTGAGCGTGAGAGTTCGGGAAAGTGATGTCTTCCCTCTTTGGGATGGAACCACGAGGCGACGTTCATTCACAGAACGCAAGTTTCTGGAGGGCACATACATCTGCAGAAGTGAGAGCAGATAAGAAGGAGCAAAGCCAGAAGTCGCTTTGTAAGCAAACATCAGAGCTTTGAATTTGATGCGAGCAGCAACTGGCAGCCAGTGCAAACGGATGAGCAGCGGAGTGACATGTGCTCTTTTAGCTTCATTAAAGACCACTCGTGCTGCTGCGTTCTGGAGCAGCTGAAGAGGCTTGATAGAGTTAGCTGGATCTTTCTGATGTTCTGAATTGTCTGCATTTGCTTCGTGGTGGACTGAAGAAACAATTAATTTTGAAACTCCTATCTAAAATATATTCTTTTTAAAAGTCGGGATAGAAAACTTTTTTCCTCTTTGTACACAATTTATTTCAATTTGAGAAACATTTCAAGTATTTTGGAGCAGTAAACGTGAATTATTGACTTCTGCTGTCTTCATTAGTTTCAAAAGCACTGATTTCTTTACTATTTAAAACAGTGTCTTTGGAGATCTTTACTGCTGGAGATACTGTTGTCCTAAAAAAAAATGTAAATAAAAAATCTTTAAAATATTTATCTTTTAAATTTTGACGAATTTAAAACCCTGACTTTTCAAAACCACGGTACACATTGAACACGGATATCGTCCCATGCCTAATCTGGACACAGCCAGAATGAGCGCCTCCTCTGCCATAAAGCTAAATAAGAGTTATCATGCCAACTTTCTACTATAAACTGAAGCTTGCAACACCCAAGCACTCTTCTGATTGGTCCACTGCTGTGGAACTGACTGTGCTGTGTGTGAAAGTCGAAGACCTCTCAACCAGACATGGCGTTTAAAAAAACGAGATGCTTCAAAAGATGCAACGTAGCAGTCAGACACGTACGTCAAGCGTGTGTTTACATTGAAAAACAATAGTATAGTAGTGCACTATACAGAAAGAAAATGCATTCTGTGTGAACGGCCCCTAAGCAGTGCACAAACACTCACAACCAATTTATAACCATTCAAAAAAGGCACCTCGCACCATTAAAAGTGCATTCAGTGTGATCAAGGCCTCAATGTTATTAATTGTATTATTAATTCCAAGGCTCTGCTGGTTTTCCAGAATTGTCATAGCCAATCTTAACCCAATTATAATTGCTTTGGTTCAATTTATAATTTCCACAACCACTGCAGAGCCTCGGGGATCTCAGGCTGGCTTGGCCTCCCCCTGATCCTAAATGTTCCCTACTGATCATTCGTGAGTGAACTGCCCCCTTGAGTGATGAGTGAATGTGGTGTGCTGGATCTGGCACTGACCGTGGACCGTGAACACATTGCAGTGCGGTGCTCCGTGCCGGGGCGTCTCTCTCCTCCCCGCGGCCTTGATGAAGGGCAGTGCCGGCAGGCTCGGTCTCCTCTGCTCACCCACTAACTTTCCTGGCTGCTGCCCCATAAGAACACACAGCGCAGGAGATCAGCTGGAGGAGCCTGAAAACACACACTCCCCTGTGCCAGTCATGCATGTGCCAGCCTGACCGCAGATCAGATCCCCGCCTTCTAGAGGTTAGAAGTGTTTCTAAGGCACTGTGGGATGTATGAAGGAGTCATCCTCATTCACAGAGTCAGCATTAATGCATGAACATCACTGCTGACGAGCTGTCAATCATTCTGACGTCACGTCAACATCAAACTCTCAAAGGAGAAGATATCAGCACATCAGAGGGGTCAGTGATGAACTCAGACGCTCTGGTGTGCGTGAAACTCTCAATGATCATCATTATTAGAGTTATTATGATAATTATTAGCCACTGGAAGAGTCTGGGAGTGCAGTAAACGCGTTTGGTGTGATCGTGGTGTCATTCAGTAAGCAGATGAGACCGTGTTTGTATCTCCTGATGCTCATTAAAGTCATGAATAAAGTGTGTGGATCTCACTGAAGCCCTCCAGGCTCTTCTGTGCAGATTTAACTCTTGCCTTTGGCTGTGGTGTTGAGTTCTGGTTAGTTGGTAAAGTCTCGTCACTTCCGCGTGCACTTCTCTCTCTCTGAGGCGGATTTAAACGCTCCTCTACCCGCCGCGTGTCTCCGCTGTCGGGCTCTTCTGCTCACCGGACACCCGCTCGGTTCCCCCGCAGTGTTTTAATGCTGGTTCTCGTCATGTTTTAGTAATATTTCATAACTTCCAGCACTTTTCTTCGCGTCGTTCGTCGTCGCAGGAACCGCCATGTTCGCGCACGCGAGCTGCGCCCGTGACGTCACGCGCCGCGCTCTTCCGCCAACAAGCGAAAACTTGTATTTTGTTTTGATGTGAACGCCTTGTAAGAAGTGTTTACCTATTGTTGTTGTCTCTAATATGAATAAATAATAATAAACAGTTAAAAATAAAAACGCTGCGGTTCCTGTACGCAGAAAACATATATTATACAAAACTGTAAGATTAATGCTCTCTTTAACATTCCTAATTAAAGACTTCAAACTTAAAGTGTATATGACTTATGATTCTCTAATTCAACAATATTATTAAATAATATTATATATTAATATAACATCATTCTGAATCATACTAAATTATACCTGATTGATATTTATTTCAATAATCTATTAATACAAAAATACTTCAACAAACTCCAAAATAGCTTTAATTTGATGCAACAGCGTTGAGTTTTACTGTCTTAAATATCAATAATATTTATTCTATTAGTATATATTATTATACAACTATATTAAATTCGATTGTATTTACATAGCACATTTAAAAACAACCATCATTGATTAAAGCACATCATAATGTCAGCACATAAATACATAATTATACGGTTATAATTTACAGCAATTAAATAAATCTGCTCTTTATAATAAGTGCATTACTGCTGAAGGTTGCAGAAGCGTTGCTCTATAGTTGTAGTTGTGTGATCACTGAAGCCCCCTGGTGGAATAAACACACAGAGCAGCGTCAGAAACACACTTAAGGGGTCAGTTCACACAGAAATAGAGATCTACTTTCATTTTAATTCATCTTAGTCCCTTATATATCAGAGGTCGCCATAGTGAAATGAATCACCAACTATTCCAGCATGTGTTTTACACAGCGGATGCCCTTTCAGTTGCAACCCAGGGCTGGGAAACACCCATACACACTCATTCACACACACACACTCATACACTACAGCCAGTGTAGTTGATCAGTTCCCCTATAGCGCATGTGTTTGGACTGTGGGGGAAACCGGAGCACCCGGAGGAAACCCTCACCAACACGGGGAGAACATGCAAACTCCACACAGAAACACCAACTGACCCAGCCGAGACTCAAACCAGAGACCTTCTTGCTGTGAGCACACAGTGCGACACCACTGAGCCACCGTTCCACCCTAATCCTCATTTGCTCTGCTTCTAAACACCTATGGGTTTCTTCTGTCGAATACAAAATAAGATACTCTGAAGAATGCTGCCGCTGCCTTCAATAGCAGGAATAAAGACGATGAAAGTCAATGTGTGTTTCTCCAGCACTCTTCAGGTTGAGAGAATGATCAACACACACACACACACACACACACACACACACACACACACACACACACACACACACACACACACACACACACACACACACACGCACACGCACACACACGCTTTGGGTGTTATAACAAATTTATTACAAAATATGAATAATGTGGTGTGTGTTATATGCATTATATATAGAGCGGTGTTTCAGCCTTCATGCTCCATCAGACGCTGCCGTGTTTCCAGAACAATCTCCTCCATGATCTCCGGCTTCAGGATGTCTTTAATCTGGAGAACAGCAAAGATACTGAGAATGAAGAGCTGCACACACACGCTTAGAGACAGACAGACTGTCAGACAGTCAAAGCGACAGACAGACAGACAGACAGACGTGTGTTGAGACCTGGTGTTGCAGTGACGCCTCATAGCAGTACAGCACACTGGTGTCGAACAGCAGCACCTTCTGATTGGCCAGAGCCAGGAGACAGTTCCTGAGCCTAGAGACCACCTCACGATCCGACAGAGACACAGGCTGCGCGCACGCACACACAAACACACACACACACACACACACGCGCACAAGTTGTTATATTTAGATCACACACAACATTATACACATTTCTGTCCCTGTAAACCACCAAAACCAGTACAGACACACACACCCAATCATTCACACACACACTATCCCAAACACACACACACCCACTTACCCACACATGCATGCATGCATGCATACACTCACGTATATGCACGCGCGCGCACACACACACACACACACACACACACACACACACACACACACGCACACGCACACGCACACGCACACGCACACGCACACGCACACGCACACGCACAAGCACAAGCACAAGCACAAGCACAAGCACAAGCACGCGCGCGCGCGCGCACACACACACACACATGCACATCCATTCCCACAATCAATCCCACACACACACCCTATCCCAAACACACACACACACACACACACAATGCTAATCCCACACACACACTATCCCAAACACACACGCCCACTTACCTACACAAGCATGCATGCATACACTCACGCATATGCATGCATGCACACACACACACGCGCGCACACACACACACACACACACGCGCGCGCACACACACACACACGCGCGCGCGCACACACGCACATCCATTCCCACAATCAATCCCACACACACAATGCTAATCTCTCTCTCTCTCTCTCTTTCTTTCTCTCTCTCTCTCTCTCTCTCTCTCTCTCTCTCTCACACACACACACACCTCCATGCTGGTGTAGAATCCTCCGGCCTGCTCCTCCTGCAGTGCCGGTGTGGGACTCAGCCACACGTATCCATTGTTCCCCAGGATCAGCGACGCTCCGCAGGGCAGATTGTGGAAGTGTGTCTTCTGCCTCTTCACCAGCGACGGAGACACATACACCAGCACACCCTGACCCAGCTGAAAAACAACCCAGACCAGCAGCTCTTCAGTGTTGTTAGATGGGTTTGACTGGTTCTGACTGATCTACGGTGTCTGCACTGAGAGAGGACAGTAGAGCGCTCTGGAGAGAGGATTACTGTAACAGAGAAATCTGGGGGACTCAGCACAGTATATAAGGCTCTACACGCTCACCTTGCCGTACTTCAGACTGCGCGTGTGCAGAGAGAGAGCGCCGTCCGAGAAGATCGACTGAACCTCCGCCTTACACACGTTAAAGAATACAGTAGAATATATACAGATGAAGACAGAATTATTAGCCTCCTGTGACATTTGATCTATTTTGCAAATATTATATTTTATTTTTCCCAGGTAATGCCTAGTTATAGGTTTACTAACAAAAATAAATAAGGCTGGAAAAATGATTCATGCTAAATTAGACAAATAAGTGCTAATATTAATGACTTTTTATTTCCAAAACTCAAATATAAATGTATTTATTAAACAAGCACTAATAAAAAAGGTCATATTTTACAGTCATTTATAATAGGTATTAGCATTGAAAGAAAGCTAACATTTTTATTATATATTTCAGCTTTCTTTCAATGCTGATACCTATTTTAAATGACTGTATTTTTACAGTAAGAACACTGTTTGTATATCCAGGGATGATGAATGTCTGATGCGGTAAATGTGGAGGATACACTGATGAGATCTCCTTCCTGCAGATAATCCCTCATGGCCAGCTCATCCTGCGTGGAACGACGTCTCTGAGAAAAAAACACACACACACACACACACAATAGTAATTGATCTGTTGTGGTGATTCTACAGTTGCTATAATAACAAAACAACTACAGTAATTGATCTATTGTGGTGATTCTACAGTTGCTATGGTAACACCACAATAGTGATTGATCTGTTGTGGTGATTCTACAGTTGCTATGGTAACACAACAACTATAGTAATTGATCTTTTGTGCTGATTCTACAGTTGCTATGGTAACACAACCACAATAGTCATTGATCTGTTGTGGCCATTCTACAGTTGCTATGGTAGCACAACCTCAATAGTAATTGATCTGTTGTGGTGATTCTACAGTTGCTATGGTAACACAAACACAAAAGTAATTGTTCTGTTGTGGTGATTTTACAGTTGCTATGGTAACAAAACAACTACAGTAATTGATCTGTTGTGGTGATTCTACAGTTGCTATGGTAACACAACAACTATAGTAATTGATCTGTTGTGGCCATTCTACAGTTGCTATGGTAACACAACCACAATAGTAATTGCTCTGATGTGGTAATTCTACAGTTGCTATGGTAACACAACAACTATAATAATATAAACAAACAAGCCAACTGCGGGGTATTTATCAGTCCACTATAGTTAATGGTAGAGAGTGCGGGAGCATTCATTAAAGTATTGTAACTGAGTTGTGTGTGAACTGCCCCTTGAATGCGTGTTGCCAGCTCACCAGCTCTCCTCCAGGCAGATTGACCGCCGACAGCAGCAGCACTGAATCCAGACGCGAGTTAGTCTCCACTTTCCATCGCTTCTGCTGCACCTTAACATTTAGAGATGCACATCATCATCATCATCATCATCATCATCATCATCATCATCAACAACAACAACGAGAGATTTTATACATAAACTACTGAACACCACTGACCTCAGTGATTCTGCCCACAACCACATCACCCACCTCTCCGTTATACCTGCAGGAGGAGAACATCACATCTAGAACACAGTATTACCACAGCATTATACATTAGTGAAGTGCAGTGTGCTATACTGTAGTGCACAGGTCTCTAACTCCTGGAGGGCCGCAGCTCTGCACAGTTTTGCTCCAAGCCAATCAAACACAGTTGATCAGGGTTGGGGCACATTGTGCAGAGCTGCGGCCCTCCAGGAATTTAGTTTGAGACCTGTGCTGTGGCGTTAGTGTAAGTCAGTGTGCACCTGGTCTTCAGCGGTTTCACACAGATGAGTTTGTTGACTCGCTCCACCTGTCCTGCCACTGAAGCGGTGAGTCTGTCTTCATCCATGTAGGTGCCGTGACCCCTGAGGACGAGGTGAAGTCAGATGAAAACGGTTTTTATCTTCGCACAATTGGAATTTCACATTCAATAAGACAGTAAAGCAAAATTTAAAGGGCTCTTGTTTCACCCCAGCGATGATGGATTGACCGGCACATTTATATGCTCTTTCTACTAATTAATTAAAGCCTTTGCTTTGGATGTATAATGAATGCATTGATCTAAAATTTAGATAATTAGCGTGCAATCACGCTCATCACTATTGACAATAAAATTTTAGCCTTGATATTTGCTAACAGATTAAAGATTTCAGCTGATTGCTGAAACACAGTCCGGCTTTGTAGGAGCTAGACACATCAGTAATAATATTACAGTTTTTTAGACCTTTTCGATTATGCAGACTATAAACATCACAAGCTATGATTCTATTCCTAGACTGCTATAAAACATTTATTAAGCCATATTAACATTGCTGTTTAAGCTTGACTTTCATGTTTGGCCATTTCTAAATGGATGTGAAAAATACTTTAATAATCACACACAAGTTCTCACCATGAGCTCAGGTTTATTATTTCAGATATAGACACGCAAGAGTGCACGCAAAAAGAGAAAGTTGGGGCACTCGGAAATTAATTAATAGTTAATTTTGTTACAGATTTTTAGTAAAACATTTACACTTCTGCTTTTGACAGATAATGTAAGGATTGTTTTTGTAAATAAAATGGAAACGCATGATCCAGTTCTGAATTTAATATACTCTGATTCCAATTTGACCTTGGAGAAAGTTCGAATCGTCCATGAAGAAAGGTAAATCTCCCAGCAATGATGGATTATCCGTCAAGATTGGTATGCTCTTTCCACAAATTAATTAAAAACCCTTTGCTTTGGATGTATAATGAATGCATTGATCTAATAGACAAGACAAGACATCATCAATGAAACGAGGTGTTCCCAAACCGATAATTGGTGTCCATCACGCTCATCACTGTTGACGATAAATTTATTTTTGATATTTCCTAACAGATTAAAGATAAAGAATCAGTCAGCTGATTGTGGAGACACAGTCCGGCTTTGTAAGAGCTAGACACATCAGTAATAATATTAGACTTGTCTTGGACCTTTTAGATTTTGAGCAATTCCATGCAAATGTCAACCTTGCCATAAAATAAACAAATACATTCTTCACAAAAACACCAAACCCTTTCCCGGTGTTTTGAGTAGGCTTGTATTTTACAGCACTGTTAAAATGTCACATCCATAATGCATAATCGCTCTCATGCAGACTTTATCCTATCATTACAACTCTATGATACTAGTCCCTGACGTTTATAAAGCATGGACTTCTTATGCAGACTGTGAAGTTCTGTTTTGGTGACTTTGTTAGTCAATGCTATTGAAATGTTTTACTGGCACATTAGAGGTTCTGTTTTAACCCATTAACAATCAACGTCTCAGTGGCAGGACGATTAAGTTTAATTCACTATACTGCATTTAAATACTAATCTAATCATGACAAACTATATAATCGCTGGAAAGGCCATTTAAACAAGTTTTAATCCTTAACCCTACAACCTGTGGGAATGTTTGCGGTTGCATTTTTAAAGCATAATATTACAGTCTAAACATAGAGCACTTTTATCAAATAATATATCATTTAAAATCTTTCTAGTATTTATATCTGATGACTGATTTTTCAGAGTTGTGAAGCATTACTTTGCTACAGCAATCCACAATTGAGGTAAAGTGGGTTTTATATTGGCACATTCAGACTTTCTTCTTAATAATACAGTTTCAAAAAAGTAATCTTTACAAATTTTAATAATGAACTCATATCAGCAGCCAATGACTATCAGAGTACAACATTGTTTACAGTCAATTAAATAGTGCTGATGTTGTTTTTAAGTCAAACTACATGCGATTTCAGACCGAATACTCAAAGTACAATACAGGCAACGTGTCACAAGTTATCACCGTTCAAAAATGAACGAACGTGCAAATACAAACCAACTTTACCTCAATCAATACACATGTAAATAATGTATTTTAAAAGTAACGTAACGCGTCACCGTAAAAAGTAACGCAACTAGTTACTTTCCAGAAGAGTCTGTCAGTAAAGTAACTTTCTCCAACACTGAACAAATACACTACATACACTAACTTGAGTTCTCAATCAAGTCCGCTACAGACTGACAGACTGCAGGTCTCAACGAGTTCACTCCACACACACACACACACACACACACACACACACACACACACACACACACACACACACACACACACACACACACACACACACACACACACACACACACACACACACACACACACACACACACACACACACACACACACACACACACACACACACACACATTTATTCTACAACAGCTCAGTTAATACCAGTTATTAATGTCTGTGTACCTCATGAAGCCCGTGTCGGAGGTGATCACATCTCCAGGCACAACCAGGTGTTTGTCTTCGCGGGAACTCTGTCCTGTTTTCAGGGAAACGTGTTTGTGAACCGCTGGAAGCCGCATCTCCACCGCCATGCTTCAACAACACTATAGCCGGGCAATATGGCGGCGAGCACGGCTCCACTTCATAATAAAAGCCCGACTGTGTTCGTGTTCGGTTTGAGCATCTAATCATCTGAATTTGGTCATTAAATAACGATTTAAGTTCGTGTTATACAATGTGTGAGGTTTTATTTTGTAACGAGAATTAAGAGACTTTTTATATTTAACATTTTAAATGACAATATAGCAAAACTTTAATACATTAAAACATTAAGTTAACATTATATGCTCTAACAAAATAATTTTATACTTTTCAGAACCAATTTGCTTTCTACATTTATTTTTGTTATTCTTTTATTGTGTAAACACAGGTTCTTAAAAGAATGAGATTATATAAATAATCATGTATTATTATGTTTATTATTATTATTATTATTATTATATTTATTATTATATTTGTTACTATTTACACATTTTCATACACCTAAATATCTTTTATGTATTGTTTTATTGTGTGAATTGATCTCGTGGCCTAGATATTTACTGTATCTAGTAAATTGTTTAAATTTGTATATATTTATTAATATAAATTTGTATAGATTTATTGTATATATATTTATCACTGTTCTGATTCTTTAATTATTTCTTGATGTTTTTAGCATTCTTTTAACCCCATTTACAGTATTGTTTGTTATTTTCACTCATTTGTCTATTGTTTTGTTTTATATTTACTCTTTTGTGTATTCCTGGAGTCATAAATTTTCTATTTCACAGTTTATTATTTTATTAATAAACCATAAAGTGGGCGGGGTCTCTCGTGTCTTCCGGAGGCGTGACTAATCGATGCTGAACTCTCCGGTTCTTCGGCAGCTCTTCTCGTCAGTCCTTGGGGAATCATGAGCACGGCTTCGGGATTCGGGAAAGCACTGGTCATCATCACCGGGGCATCCCGGGGCTTCGGCCGAGCTCTGGCTCTGTCGGTGGCGGCACGTGTATCTCCGGGCTCAGTACTGGTGCTCGCGGCTCGGTCGGAGGAGCAGCTGCTGGAGCTGAAGAGCGCGCTGACCCGCGGGGAGACCGGCCTCACCGTCCGCTGCGTCCCGGTGGATTTGGGCTGTGAAGCAGGAGTGGAAAAACTCATTGCCGAGACCAGAGATATCCAGCCGGACATCCAGCACCTGCTGCTCTTCCATAACGCCGGTCAGAGAACACTCAACGTTCCCTTAACGTTAGATTTTGATTCCTGTTAACGTTAGTTTTTTAAAGCCAAAGATAACGTTTTGCGAATTCTTTTTAGATTTAACTTTTTTTCCAACCATAAAACAACTTTCCCAGAACTTCAAGAGGGGACACGTAAAAAAAAAAAACAAAAAAAAAAACATACATAACCTTTATGATTTGATTTGTTTTGTATGTTTGATGTTTGTTTTCATGTAATTCATGAGCTATATTTTGCAGAATTACAGAACTAAATTTGTAAATACAGCATTTATGAAAATTTTAAATTAATCAAGATGTGGAATAATTAGTTAAATATTAAAATAGTCATAAATGATTTACTCAGTAATAATGAGGAACGTTAGATGGCATCAAAACCTCACATTTATTTGAATTTCTGTTCTGCGCGCCTAAATTCTAACGGTCAAAACCTTCATTTAAAAATCAACCGTCGTTTTGTAACGGCCTGACTCACTATAGCTATACTTTCTCGTCTTGTTATCGAATAATTCCATGTAACGTAAAATTTATTTTTTATTATTGAATACCTGACATAAGGTGAGCCTAACGTAACGTGAAACCGCTTGTCTACAGACCAAAGAGAAAGGCATGTCTAAACCTCAGTTCAGTGGTAAGCATTCAATGTATAATATATCCTTTGTTATCTCAATGGTTTGTTGATGTGATTGTTTCGGTTGTTTATGTCTGTGGATACATTTAGTGTTGTATAGAGATTGTTTTGAAATCATTACTTGGTGTGAGGAAACGTAACATCTCTGTAAAGTTAAATGTTACCCCGTGATGAAATAACTTAAACCTTGCACAAGGAAGGACAACAAATGTTCCTAAAGTGCTTGAGTTTTATAAGTGCTGGACTAAGATCTCTTCCATATATATATTTATATATACATCTAAATATATTTCTTTATATATTTTGCCAAAAGAGTAAACCTGTTTCTGCGTTTTTTGTGTGTGTGTGTTTGTATTTTACAGTGCTTTAAAAATACTCAAAAATGTAATTGTCTGTGTTTTCAAACTATTATATTTGATTTACCAAAGTCACATTGCTCATCCGTCACATCCATAATGGAGAGATGTCACATCCATAACAAAGCTTTTTCCTCATAAATGCAAAAATCTAAAACCAAATAAAATCAATCATGGTTGTTCTATAGTGAGCCAACTCTTATCCTTTTGATTGCAGTTTAATTCACAGAATTTCTACAAAGTATGTTGTATACTGCAAACTTGGACTTTTTTTGTCACATCCATAACGCATGTATATTTCCCTAATTTAAAATATAAAATTGGTATTTTTCTGCTCCCACAACTCTGGCCATGTTGTTTTGAAAAATATAAACATATGTTTCAATATAATGTTAACATATACTTCCTCTGTCGATTTATGTTTTGAGATTTTACTGCAAATGTCACATCCATAACGCTGGAACTGCTGGAACTTTTACTCCATAACTTTTCTGTTCTCTAACTCCGTGTTTCCCAACTCTGTTCCTGAAGGCACACAAACAGTTCACATTTTATACCTCGTCCTAATCAAACACACCTGAATCAGCTCATCAGAATAAGGCAGACGTTGACAATATGCACTGTTGGTGGTGTGCCTCTAGGAACAGGTTTGGGAAACACTGCTTTATCTGTCCTCTTGACTTTGTATAAGCGATTGATATTCTGCTGCTGTGTGTCCTGCAGCTTCTCTCGGTGATGTGTCTCGTTACTGTCGTGATTTCACCAATATGGAAGAGCTGAACTCATACCTGTCGCTGAATGTAAGCTCCGCCCTCTGTCTGACGGCGGGAGTCCTCCGCACATACCCGAAGCGCTCCGGGCTGACCCGCGTCATCGTGAACATCAGCTCGCTGTGTGCACTCCGGCCTTTCCCCACCTGGGTTCAGTACTGCAGCGGCAAGGCGGCACGCGACATGATGTTCCGCGTCCTCGCAGAGGAGGAGCCGGAGCTCCGAGTGCTGAACTACGCTCCAGGTACATAATGAGCATCATGGTGAGAATATTAGCTGTGTTTTCGTCCACCTATTGTTATGTGGATTACTGCACTACACTTCTCTCAGCGTTATTTCTGCATTTTTAGCAGGAACTGAGGGTTTTGCTCAGTGGTTTTGCACTGTGGCATCACAGCAAGAAGGTTGCTGGTTTGAGTCTCGGCTGGGTCAGTTTCTGTGTGGAGTTTGCATGTTCTCCCCGTGTTGGCGTGGGTTTCTTCCGGGTGCTCCGGTTTTCCCCACAGTCCAAACACATGCGCTATAGGGGAACTGATGACTAAACTGACAGCGTGTGTATGGGTGTTTCCCAGTACTGGGTTGCGGTTGAAAGGGCATCCGCTGTGTAAAACATGCTGGAATAGTTGTCGGTTCATTCCGATGTGCATTCGTTTCTATGCAGTTTTATAAATGAGAGCCCTGCTTCATTTTCATCATAGTAACAGTTTTTCAATACAGCAGATGGCCACTTCCAAAACAAGACCAGAACATTAATAAAAGCACACATTACACAGGCACTCATTATGCACAGTTTATTAAGCCATAACTGATAATAATGGTGTCATGCACTTGCACAATGAGTACATTCACCCCAGCTCACAGCAGCACACAATTAGGTTTGAGCTTGCAGGTAAGTCAGTGTTAAGCAAGCCAGGATGCATTTGGCATTTATTTAGTCCAGACTAAAGAAACCAATAGAACTGAACTGAATGTGAACACACCAGAGCTTTCAGTAATAACCGTGAGCAATGTATCACTATTGTATTTTAAATCTCAAAACTGATTTTTGCCATTACGTTTTAAAGCACCATGTAAACAATGTGATGGTGCGGTCATGAAATAATCAGGAGAACCAAACCACATCTGGTGGACTAAAAGAAGGATTTGTCTTGGATCTTCTTGTGATACCAATGGCATATTAAAATACCAGGCGTGATTATTTTCCTGGCTGGCAGATAAAAGTAGAGCATGATCGAAATCTCACTGCTCAATCAGATAAGGAACATTTTATTTTATGACCTGATTATCTGATATGATCATTTGCTCTGGAAGTTCCCTAAAGCAGACGTGTGTAAAATCATTCAAAAATAGTTATAACACGTTCAGTAGGGAATATATTATACATTATTTTTTAATAATTCAGAGGAACAGAGAGCATTATTGTGTACAGTTGCTGAATCTACAGTTCAGGTGTTGCATTTTAGACATTTGTCAGGTTTTTGCATTCAAATAAAATTGTAATACAGCCTTTTCTGATTTGATTTATAGTGGTTTGTTAAAATTGGGTGTCTGTTTAGCCAAGCATGTTTTAGTAAATTTATTTAATGCCAAATTGTAACGGTAAATTAATGAATGTAATTCGCATGTGGCTTTATGAACTGTTTTAAAAGAACATTTGTAATAGAGTAATTTATTATTTTACTTTCCTGTTTTCACCATCATTTCATTCTTGTTTCGTAGAAAACTTGATATTTTCAGCAAAATGACTCAATAAGGGGGTGGCGCAGTAGGTAGTGCTGTTGCCTCAAAGCAAGAAGGTAGCTGATTTGAGCTTCGGCTGGGTCAGTTGGCGTTTCCGTGTGGAGTTTGCATGTTCTCCCTGCGTTTGCGTGGGTTTCCTCCGGGTTCTCCGGTTTCCCCCACAGTCCAAACACATGCGGTACAGGTGAATTGGGTAGGCTAAATTGTCTGTAGTGAATGTGTGTGTGGATGTTTTCCAGTGATGGGTTGCGGCTGGAAGGGCATCTGCTGCGTAAAAACTTGCTGGATAAGTTGGCGGTTCATTCCGCTGTGGCAACCCCAGATTAATAAAGGGACTAAGCCGACAAGAAAATGAATGAATGAATGTTCTGTAGATTATGTTCTGTAGATTTATCACATCCTTCAGTGATCTTCGTGTCACACTTGCTTGTTCATTTTTTAAGTAGTGATCAAGGTCTGCTATGCAAATGAGGTCTTAAAGGTGATATATTATTAATTATGAATGCAAACTAACTTAAATGTATCATTAGAAATTTAAAAGTGTGAAAAAGCTGAATAATCAGACATTGAATATACACTGTAGACTTGCATTGAGACTCTGAAGGCTTTAATGTGAACTTTACTCCCTACTTATGGCTAAAATAATCAATATAAAACTATTTTCTGGCTATCAGCTCTGATCAGGGTAAACATGAACTAAACTGGAGGTGATTTGAGAAGAAATTCAACTATGAAAGTGATTTATTGAGCTCATGATCTTTCACGCGTCATGGGATTGATGCTCAGAGGCGTTCAGGCCTTCAGCTGATGTGTGTGTGTGTGTGTGTGTGTGTGTGTGTGTGCTTACTCTGACATGGCTTGAAAGGAATTTTTTAACTTGGTAGCATTGGCATTCTCAACTTCAAAAAATTAGGAGCAACCACCAAAATTGATTGAGCACCACTACAAATTGTAGATTAACAGATTTATTGTATTGGAAAACAACAACAATCTAACTAAAGCTAGTGTTTGTGTGTATCTTCTCTGTGACTCCCGCAGGTCCTCTAGACACAGATATGCAGCGTGAGGCGCGGAGCAGCTGCGCAGACTCTGAGCTGAGAAACACCTTCAGCCAGATGCATGCCAACGGGCAGCTGCTGACCTGCGATCAGTCCATTCAGAAGCTGATGAGCGTGCTGCTGGAGGACAAGTACAGCTCCGGAGAACACCTGGACTACTATGACCTGTAGATCGCTGACACGTAAACACACTCACACACAGAAAAGGAGTCTCTCAGACAAACACACACAATAGGAGACTTTCTCACACACACACAGAATAGACTCCTAAAACACACACAGAGACAGAACAGGAGTCTCTCGTACAGGAGTCAAGTAATTGCTATTATATATATATATATATATATAAATAATTGCTAATACTTCGCTTGTTTTAAGGATAATCTCTCTTCATTTTGACTCATTATTTCTGAAAACAAGACTATATTGCTTGCTGGTCTAGAAAATGCTTCTTGGTTCAATAATTATATTGATATTTTGGACTAGAAACAAGACAGAAACTCAAAATCGGAAGCATTTTTCTGCATTGTAAGCCTTTCATTTGCATATTATCAGTAAGTGTGAGTCGTGAGTTGCTGCAGATTTTTGTTTCAGTATGTTGACATTTCCAACTAAAACTGAATATTAAGTAGGGGCGGAGTTTTATTTATAAGCCCCGCCTCTCATATTTCACTTGGAGCTAACTGATAGTTGAAGGGGTGTGGCTAAGCATATTTCAGCCAGTCAGAGTGAGACAGTTTCTCCAGAGCAGATAATTTATATTTAAATATTATCTAAATAAACTGCTTTACAGAAGGTTAATTATTAACCTCAAGACTAACTATGTGTGCTAGCCAAATAAACACTCTACATTTTAAATTCTTTACTATTTTGTTACTAAAACATGAGATTGTATGACAATAGATATATAATGTGATTATTAATGTATGAGCACTTACAGTGTGTATTAAAGGATTCAGAATGTTTTACATTAGTATGCATTGAGGAATCTATGTAAACATCAGAGTGTGTTTATGATTAATGATGATTAACCCATGATTACAGTGCCTTGGTATTAAAGTGAACTGCAGATGACTGAGAGTTCTGGACCAAATATATACTGTTTACTGATTATATATCTGCTGCCTTTCGTTATAAAATAATGACAAATGCTCTAAATTTAAATGAAAGCTTTCGTAATTCCAGATGTTGTATTCAGCATTTTATATTCCTTTTTTAATTGCCAGCCAAATACACAATTGAAGACAATTATTATTATTTTAATTATTTTTCAAATATTTCCCCAAGTGCTCTTTAACAGATTTTTAAGTGATATATTTAAGAACTCGTCTCTAATAACTGATTTCTCTTATCTCATAGCTCATAAAATTAGACTAGATGTTCTTCAAGACACTGGTATGCAGCTTAAAGTGACATTTAAAGGCTTAATTAGGGTAAAGTTAGGGTAATTAGGCAAGTCATTAAATAACAGTGGTTTGATCTGGATCTTTGACAATCCAACACTAATTTTGCTGAAGGGGGTTAAAAATGTTGACCTTAAAACGGGTTTAAACCGCTTTCATTCTTGCTGAAATAAAACTAATCAGACTTTCTCCAAAAGAACAAATATTAGAGGAAACACTGTGAACAATTCCTGAATCTGTTCAACATCATTTGGGGAATATTTGAAGAAGAACACATATTTCATAGGAGAGATAATAATTTTGTCTTCAACTGTAGGTATTCTTAATATATAATATCTTAATAATACGAAACTTTATTAATGTTTTTTAAGATTTTTCTTTCTATAATCAAAGCGTTTTATGATGTGTACTTTGATTCATTAAATATAATAATGTATAAATTGATAATAATTGTGAATGTTTGCTGTCATTAATGTCCTGTTTGTTCTTTAATACACTTCTGTAACGTCAGATGAATAAAAGCGCTCCTGCGCTGCTTCTCTGTCATGTCTGTGCTGATTATGTCCAATTTTCCTGCTGTAAGTGAATGATGAAGCACACACACACACACACACAGCTGTTTGTACACTTCTGAAAATCAATCAAGTTTGTAAGCCATATTTACACACAGCAGATGGAAATAATGAAATGAAGATTATAATGGCCTTCTTAGGAACCATCTTCAGACATCAACTTATTTATGTATTAATTATTAAGTTCTTGGTGGATTTTATTTCTTGATTTTTATTTATTTATTGTTTGCAACAAACTATTTGGCCCCTTAGGCTATTTAGTTTTTGCACCACAACAAAATATTTAGCCCCCTAGAAAGTAGATTATTTTTGAGAATGTAAACACAACATTTACAAAAAAGTTGTGTTAGATCAGGGGATCACAAACTTTTCAGCCTTTGACCACCAAAATAACAATGCCAGTGACTCGTGACCTCCAATATGCTCTGAGGTGGTTTTACATAGACAAACCTTGCATGCAACAGAGCAAACACACCAACAGGCTCAAGTATATTTGTCATTTAATTTTGGAGAACGCCACTCAGAGGTCATCCTCCATGTTCAGTTGTGGCCTGTATTTATTTTTAATGTACATGCGTACTGTAAAGGTTTAACTTGGTGCTATAAAATCAGTCTGGTGCTATTGCTGTGCCTTTAAAATAGTGCACTCGACCTAGGGGCCGCAACACATGCATGTGTTTTTTTTTTTTTACAGTAACTAATAACTATTATTTTTATCTTCTGTGGGTTATGAGTAAAATGTGTTAATCCTAATAGTTCAATAAAATTAATTTGATTTTTATGACCCGCTCTCGTTAACCTTTGACCCCCTGAGGAGTCCTGACCCCCACTTTGGGAACCACTAATGCATTTACTAAACTGAATAAACAACACATTTATTACAGTGTTTGTTCATGTTAATGGAAATACAGTCGTTCATCTTCATTCATTCATTCATTCATTTTCTTTTCAGCTTAGTCCCTTTAATAATCTGGGGTCCCCACAGCGCAATGAACCGCCAACTTATTCAGCATATGTTCTACGCAGCAGATGCCCTTCAAGCTGCAACCCATCTCTGGGAAACATCCATACACACTCATTGACACTCATACACTACGGACAATTTAGCCTACCCGTTCACCTGTAATGGATTTTAATAATGCATTAGTAAATGTTGAACTCTGAATCATAAATAGTGTATGTGTATTGTTTATAATGAGTTCATGTTAGTGAATAGATTCAACCCTTACTGTTAAGTGTGACCTTTATTTAACTATTGCACTGTTGAGAAATGAATCACATGCTTGTCTGTATAATAATAACATGGTCAAACACAAAACCTAGTTTCCACCAATACTGGTCAACCATGAATATCTGTGGGAAGTCATGTCACTTGATATGTTGACATTCTGCGGTTGTGTGGAATTAGCACAAAACATTTTAGTCAGTCTGATGTTTGCGGTCAATTTGATGCAGTTTCACAGATGAACAATTTTCTGTTTTCATCTCAGTTTTTCAGCTATTTACATTGATGCATCTATCAGATGCTTTTATCTCACTAGAAGGCATACATTTTCATCAGCTCAAGCGTGATAATTGTGCAGGGAATCAAACTCATGATCTACATGTGAAATCTTGTTGATAAATGTCCTTCTGTAGTTGAAAAATAGAACGAATAACAAAAATGTGTTTACTCTGAATCAATTTATACAGAACTGTGGAATTTATTTACAGTATTTATTAAGGCAAGTGTATTATTAGTAACTGTAATTAACCCTTTGAGCAGTATGTTCCCACAAATGCAATGTAAAATGTCCAGCATTTAGCAACTACATTTCTTAATTAAAGCTTAATGCTTCGACAATGAAAATAAAATATAATAGTTCTTTAAAAACAGTGTAAAGCTGTTCATAAAACTCACTGCAGTGATCTTCTGAAGTTTCACTGAAAAGTTAAATAGGTTTTTGTTGGTCACACTTTACAATAAGGCAGTGGTAGGGAATATATGGCTTGCGAGCCACATGTCGGTCTTTGGCAAAAAATACGTGGCTCTCCAGCTGTCTCCCTTTAATAATATTTTGAGGTTTAAAAAATTATAACCGTCACTAGAAATCTAAAAGTTTCCCATTGAAAATACAATTACAGTTCCTTTTTAGTGTGATGTTTTTACAGCAAAATTAATAAGAAAACTATTTCCACTAATCTGTGTGCAGCAGCGTGGAGTTGAACTTGAATTGCGACACCAATAAAGAACAAACAGCTTACATTTCTATGGTAACCTTGTGCACATAACGTCAAACAACCTTCATAAGTGATGATGAAGAAAATAAATTAAAAAATGATAAATTCTATTAATTAATTGTTCTATTCTAATAATTTTTATTCATGGACTTATATTTGTATGTTTTTGAGCTTTGCGTGGACATAAAGGTTTTTGTTTAAACCTGTTTTATTTATAGCAGTATCAATGGCTCTTTAAAACAATGCATTTGCTAAATGAAATGAAAATGGTTCTTTGCTGAAAAAAGGTTCCCGACCCCTGCAATAAGGTTTCATTACTTAATGAATTATCTTAATGAACAGTACGTGTACAGCTTTTATTAATCAGAGTCCAACATTTACTAATGCATTAATACAATCTGAATTCATCCTTGTTAACATTAGTGAATGCACTGTGAGTTGACATAAACTAACTTTAAACGGCTGTATTTTCATTAACACAAACAAATACTGTAATAAATGTAGTGTTTGTTCATGTTAGTAAATGCATTAAGTGATATTAAGCAATACAACCTGAAGTAAAATGTTACCATAAGTTTTAAAACTAAAGAAAGCATGAAATCCTCGTGTGTGATGTTTATTTTGCACATTGATATACTCAGAAAATGACTTTTGCTGAATTCTTTAGGTTTTTGGGGACAGCTTAATTGTTTTATGTTCAATCTTAACATTAACATAAATCTTAACTTAATAGATTTGTGTTGAGACAACATGAAGGACCTGTGTGGAACCCAGCATTGTGATATCCAGGCTGAAACAATATATATACTGTTTAAGTCAGAATTATTAGCCCCCATTTGATTTTTTTTTTCTTTTTTAAATATTTCCCAAATTATGCTTAACGGAGCAAGACATTTTTCACTGTATGTCTGATAATATTTTTTTCTTTTTATGCTTTTATTTCGGCTAGAATAAAAGCCGTTTTTAATTTTTTAAGTACTATTTAAGGTCAATAATATTAGCCCCTTTAAGCTATATATTTTACTGATAATCTACAGAACATTCATTCATTCATTTTCTTGTCGGCTTAGTCCCTTTATTAATCTGGGGTCGCCACAGCGGAATGAACCGCCAACTTATCCAGCAAGTTTTTTTACGCAGCAGATGCCCTTCCAGCCGCAACCCATCTCTGGGAAACATCCACACACACACACTCATACACTACAGACAATTTAGCCTACCCAATTCACCTGTACCGCATGTGTTTGGACTGTGGGGGAAACCAGAGCACCCGGAGGAAACCCACGCGAACGCAGGGAGAACATGCAAACTCCACACAGAAACGACAACTGAGCCGAGGTTCGAACCAGCAACCTTCTTGCTGTGAGGCGACAGCACTACCTACTGCGCCACCTGCCTCCCCTATCTACAGAACAAACCATCGTTATACAATACCTTTCCTAATTACCCTAACCTGCCTAATTACCCTAGTGAAGCCTTTACATGTCACTGTAAGCTGTATAGAAGTGTCTTGAAGAATATCTAGTCTAATATTATTTACTGTCATCATGACAAAGAAAAAATACATCAGTTATTAGAGATGAGTTATTAACACTAGTTTGTGTTGAAGAAATGTGCTCTCTGTTAAACAGAAACCGGGGGGGGAAATAAACGGGGGCTCATAATTCTGACTTCAACTGTATATATATATATATTCTTGTTTATTTATTTTATTGAACGGTGAGCTCGGCTGTGACGTGAGTTTCCCTCTGGGATTAATAATGTTTAAACAGACAGACAGGATGATTTTTGTGAGTGTGCTTCTGTCTGTCAGTGTGTGTTGGTGATCTGGGTGATGAGCACACGCAGCTGACAGACAGAAATACTCCTCAAACTCTGCTCTATTTTTAGGCTCTGGATGTTAGTTTCAGCTCTGGATCTGCTCAGTTCTGCTCCAGCCGCAGATCCAGCATGACCGTGGAGAAGACGGACCCCGTGGAGGTGTTCGGAGCCGGGCTGAAGGGCCGGGGTCTGCGGGGTACCAGAGACCTGTCGGCTGGAGAGGTGGTGTTCGCTGAGGCCAGTTTCGCCGCTGTTGTGTTGGACAGGTAAGAGTTCAGCTTCACTCAAAAATATGATTTTGCTTATTGTTTAAACTACTTATTTAAAATGAGCTGAAACAATGCAATTCTGCAGGTTTGTTTGGTTTTATGTTCAATCTGCTTAAATTAGTTGTGTTAGCTTGATGATGGATTTATGGGACAACATGAATGAGTTGTGTGGCATTTTTGCTGTCTTTGTGAGTGAGTTTTTCTCTTAAATTATGCAAAATAGTCTTCCAGTGGGCTGGGCTGGTGTGCTATAGCAAACCCAAGGGCACCACTCATTTTATCGCCTCATAAAAGTAGATATATATTTATTTTTTTGTTATAGTTATTATTATTAATCATTCATTCATTCGATTTTTGGCTTAGTCTCTTTTTATATGGGGTCACCACAGTAGAATGAACCGCCAACTTATCCAGCAAATGTCTTACGCAGGGGATGCCCTTCCAGCCGCAACCCATTGCTGGGAAACACCCATACACTCTTGCATTCACACACACACTCATACACCAACTGACCCAGCCGAGACTCAAACCAGCGACCCTCTTGCTGTGAGGTGATCGTGCTACTCACTGCGCCACTGTGACGCCCTATTATTATTATTATTATTAATTTACAAATTATTATTCTCACATTTTTTAACATTTGAGATATATATATATATATATA